TGAAGAAGTTGGTAGAATTCTTCTATTTCATCTTCACTGGTTCAGTGGTTGGTGCATAAATTTGAATAATAATGGTACTAACTGGGCTTCCCTGTTGTTGTTAAGTGCCGTCGAGTAGGTTCCAACCCATAGCAACCCTGTGTATGGTTTCCAAGGAGTGACTGGTGAGCTTGAACCACTGACTTTGTAAGTGCATGGTTATCATCCTATCACAGACAGTGTTATATCTCATGACTGATCTGGATATGTTCTTTTTGACAATGAATGCAACACCATTCCTCTTCAATTTGTCATTCCCAGGATAGTACACCATGTAGTCACAGATTATTCTTGAGAGAACTAAGAACAGTCACAAATCATTTTCTGGGTTCGTGGTTCAGATAAAGAACACTGAGTGAAAAAGAACATTTTTAAGCCTTGCAGATGCCTTTCTAAAATAATCTAGATTCTTTCACTATGTACTATTAGCCCCAATCATGTAATACTTGGCAGTAAACACTGGACTTTTAACCACAAGGTTGCCAGTTCAAACCCATCAGCTGCTCTGTAAGAAAACAATGAGGTTTTCTTCTGTAAAGATTTACGGACTCAGAAACCCTACAGATTTGCCATGAGTTGGAACTGACTAGACGGCACTTGACAACAACAACAACAACGTGGCTACTTTTTTTTTTTTTTTTTTTTAATATAATATAGCTTATTTTGCCAAATGCATTGTTTCTTCTTGGAAGGTAGAAAAGGTGGCTTGAACAAAATGTGATTAATGAGGTTAATTTTGACATGTGACTTGTGGAATTGGTTTCATTGCTTAATAGCTGCATTTGAGACTTTCTTTCTCACAGCATCTAGCAAAGTGCCTTGAACATAAATCAATAAATGTTCTTTAAAATAATTTGCAAATTCAATCTGGAGAGTAGAGGGGTAACAGGACACTTCTTAGGATCCTAAAATTAATTCACATATGCTACTACTAAAAGAGAATTTGGGGAGAAAAATGAAATCAAGGGACTCTAGTTGTCTCATTTCCACCTCTAGAAATTATAATAAAATTCCTCTTTAATTCAATTCAGTCCACCTTTGTTATAAATCTTCTGAAACTAATTTTTTCAAGTTTATAACCATATATGCAGTACAGAATGAATAAAATAGCATGTGACCCCATGGCCCAGTGTATTGATTGAGAATAAAAGCTGAGGAACTATACTAGGGGAAAGTACTCCTGGGAGTCAGGGTGAGCTACAGTAATAACTGGACAGAGATTGCCTCAAGTTTATTCTAATGGGCTAGGGTTGGCCCTGAGGAGGCAGAGGAAAGCTTAAGAGGTGTTATAAAAAGGAATGGGGGACCTAAGAGGAGACCAAGCGAAAATCTGGTGAGTTTCAGCTGTTGTTTGGTTGCTTCTGACACATGATGACTCGTCTGTGTCAGAATAGAGCTGTGCTTTATAGTATTTTCGATGCTGATTTTTCTGAAGTTGATAACCAGACATCTCATCTGCGGCACCTCTAGATGGACTTAAGCCTCCACCTTGTGGGTTCGCAGCTGAGCATGTCTAACATTTGCACCACCCAGGGATTCTTGTTTTCAGTATAAACCCCAAAACCAAACCCTTGCCATTCAGTTGATTCTGATTTGGCAGTGTAGTGGCTGAAACACTCAGCAGCCAACCAAAAGATTGGCCATTAGAACCCACCAGTTACTCCTCAGCAGAAAGACGTGACCATCTGTTTCTATAAGATGTACAGCCTTCGAAACCTTTTGGGGCAGTTCTCCTTTATCCTATAGGGTATGAGTGTGAGCTTTCATTACAGCAGCAGCAATAAACCAGGATACAAGAGGGGGAAAGGAAAGCCTGACTTTTCCTTCAGGACATGATGACATTGAGTTTGATTTTCACCAAGAGGTTCATTTCCCTGACAGGTCAATATAGATCTATATGTATATGAACATATATGCAACTCAGCATAGTGTTGTTGTTAAGTGACATCTAGTCTGTTCCATGGACTGCCAAAAGAACCAATAGATCTGTTTTGGAAGAAGAACAACCAGAGTGCTCCTTGGAGGCCAAGATGGCTAGGCTTCGTCTCTCCTACTTTGGACGCATTGTCTGGAGAGAACAGTCGCTGGAGAAGGATATCATGCTAGGTAAGGTGGAGGGTCAGAGAAAAAGAGGAAGACCCCCAACGAGATGGATTAGCCAAGTGACATCATTGATGGTGTCAAGTGTGGCAGCGGTAGTGAGGTTGGCCCAGGATCGGACATTGTTTCGTTCTGCTGTGCATGGGGTCGCTATGAGTCGGTTCCAACTCGATGGCACCTGACAACAACAACAACAGTCCATTCCGAACTCGTAGAGACCCTGTATAGGTTTCAGAGGAGCAGCTAGTGAGTTTAAACTACCAATCTTGCAGTTCAAACCGACCTTGTGGTCAAGTGCTTATTCTACACCAGGACAGAGTATGGGGTGTGATTTTCCTTAGTTAATTTATGTGGATTATATAAATGGCATATTTATTTAACATCATACTTTTGAGATAGATTCATGTTTAAATACAGTTTTGTTTCTTTTATTGGAGGTCCATTTTCAATAGAGCACAAGGATTGAGTATCTTTTTATGTATATATTGCTGGCTCTGGAGTCCAGCACCACTGCAGTGGGTTAATGCACCAGACTGCAAAACTGTTTGAATTGCAAGGTCAGCTGTTCAAGCTCACAAGCTGCTCCTCAGAAAACCTATACAGGTTCTCTATGGGTCGAAATCGACTCGATGGCACTTAACATCGACAATAGCATTGGTAATTCTCAGACTCCTGGTGTGGCGCTGTAGGATCAGCACTGGATTGAGAACTACAAGCTCAGCAGTTCAAAGCCATCAACTGCTCCTCAGAAACCCTACAGAGGATTGTTATGTATTAGAACCAACTCGATGGCACTTAACAGCAACAACATTGATGCCTTTGGTTTCTTCTTCTGTGACTAGCTTGTTCATACCCTTCGCCTATTTTTATTGGATAATTTGTCACAATTCTTTCTTTAAAAATAATATTTTGTTGTGTTTTTGGTGATTGTTTAGACAGTAAATTACGTTCCCCTTTAAGAGTTTCTCTATAAACTGTTCAGTGACATTGGTTGCATCTTCCCCAGTGTGTCATCATTTCCATCATCTCCCTTCTGGTTTGTCTGTTTCACAATTCTTTGTCATCAAACTGTGAGCATTTCAAGTGCTGGCATTGTCTTTATTATTTTCTGTGTTTCCATGCCCAAACACTATGCCTGCTATACAAGAAAACTCCATTAGAATCAGAGCTAGTGCCCCAAACTCATTTTCAAGTCCCTAACACCTAAAATCTAATTTATATTTTACTTTGATAGCATTCTTTAGAATTCACTAAAATACTATTGCCAAGAATTAGGAGCAGAAACTCTGGACAATGACATTCAATACATTTTCACTGATCATTGTATCCATGGAAAAATTGAAGCAATGGGGAGAATGTGGCTTGTCTAAAGTCATAAGTAATAGTTACGGTCATATCTAAAGACAGAGGTCACATCTTGTAACTGCAGATCTAATCCTCATCTTCAAGGCCATGCAAGGCTCTATGGGGGAAAACAACAACTATAAAACTGTGACTATATAACTCACCTGGTAGCAGTTTTCTAGTGTGTTTTCCCATTTCAATCTGGTAGAATAGCCAGCCATGTTTTTTTGGTAGTAATTTTCTTCTTCATTTGCCAACTTCTCAGTTGATTTTTTCAGTTTATTGAGGAGCTAAAGTAAAACATCAGTGCCACATATTCACTAACACATTTATGAAAACTCTTTGTCCTTCTACAGGAAGGATTATATCAGTCCCAGTTACAAGTTTCTCATACATTCTATGTGATAAAATTAAATATCTTTCAGGAAAAACGATGTCAGAACCAGAAAGATGCCTAATGGACTTTCAGTCTGATTTCCTCAGTTTTACACATGAGGAAATCAAGGTCCTTAAGGTGTGGTGCTGTGGGATAATGCACTGGACCTCAAGGTCATTTTGAACCACTAAGGTCGGTGGCTCAAACTCACCAGCCTCGTCCTGGAAACCCTATACAGTGTTGCTATGAGTTGGAACCGACTCCACAGCACATAACCAACACCACCACTGCCACCAGTAATGACATGGGAGCATGGTGGCTTTGTAGGATAAGCAGTAAAGTATACTGTGAATCACAAGATCGGCAGTTCAAGCTCACCAGGAAAAAGATGAGGCTTTCTGCTCCTGCAAAGATTTACAGCTTCAGAAACTCTATCCAGGGTTGCTATGAGTTAGAACTGACTTGAAGGTGCTTAACAACAGCAAGTAATAATGTGGAGTGCTTGTTAAAATTGTAGATTCCTAGCCTCATATGGATGCGAAAGCTGGACAGTGAATAAGGAAGATCGTAGAAGAATTGATGCCTTTGAGTTGTGGTGTTGGAGGAGAATACTGAAAGTGCCATGGACTGCCAAAAGAACCAATAGATCTGTTTTGGAAGAAGTGCAGCCAGAGTGCTCCTTGGAGGCCAGGATGGCTAAGCTTCGTCTCTCCTACTTTGGACATATTATCCGGAGGAAACAGTTGCTGGAGAAGGATGTCATGCTGGGTAAGGTGGAGAGTCAGAGAAAAAGAGGAAGACCCCCAATGAGATGGATCGGCCAGGTGGCATCATTGATGGCATCCAGTGTGGCGGCGGTAGTGAGGTTGGCCCAGGATTGGACATTGTTTCGTTCTGCTGTGCATGGGGTCGCTATGAGTCGGTTCCGACTCGATGGCACCTGACAACAACAACAACAAGATTCCATAAAGGAGCTCTGGTAGCATAGTGGTTACAAGTTGGGCTGCTAACCTCAAGGTCAGCAGTTCGAATCTAGAAGCTGCTCCACAGAAAAAAGATGAGGCTTTCTGTTCCCATAAAGATTAATAGTCTCGGAAGCTCTATAGCAGGGTTGATGTGAGTCAGAACCGACTCCATGGTACATAACCACCACCACCAGATTCCATAAATAGCAGTTCTGATGCAGTAGTTTTGTAGTGAATAACATCGTTGTCTTCATTACATCCTCAGATCCACAAGTGGTCCTCAAACCATACTTTAAGGGACACCAAGGACTCTTTTGACTTAAGCAATCTAGGCGTCGCAGGGACGTAGACAAAAGGCTTTTTAAAATGACCTACTTTATACTTAAGGACACTTTGACTAATGTTACAGTAATGAAAAACATTCATCCAAATTGCTGAATACCAATACCACTCACTCTATTATTCTAAGTAATATAGTAGTCATTCAACTGTCTCTCAGTTCTGATGTATGACCTACAGAGGGCACATTTGCATATCAAGTGTAATGAACCATATCTATCTGTAGATACAATGGGCTTGTGAATTTCAGCCTGATAGCAATAGAATAGAACTCAAAGGGGGTCATGGCCTGTCTCCATGAGCTCATTGTCCTTAGATTTTTATTGAGAATACTCAGATTACCAGAAACAAGAGCAGAGACTTCGAAGACCACCACTCAACATTCATCGGTCTATACTACATAGGTACTGATGAGAAGTTTCAACCTGAGAAATTAAAAAAAAATACTCACCAATAGATAGAAAAGAACATGCTGTTGTTAAGTGCCAGTGAGTCAGTTCTGACCCACAGTAACCCTGTATAGGGTTTCCAATGAGTGACTCATGAGTTTGAACCACCTACCTTGCAGTACAAACTGACTTAAGGTCCAGTGCTTTATCCCATAGCTCCACACCAGGACTCCAGAAAAGAATATAGACTCCTACATTCTTATTTATGGAGTTGCTCAGACATCTTTGCTAACAGTTGTCAAAGATTGAATTGTTTTTCTTTCCCCTTTTATTTTTCATGGAATAAATACTTCATTCATTTATTCCCCAAACATCTACTGAGTGCCTATAATGTTTCATTATATGCTAGGCTCTGGGAATACACATGGAAACATGACAGGTTCCCTCTCCAGTCAGGGACACACACAGGGCATTGCCATTTTGTGTGTTCAGTGCCAGGATATACTTAGACATCACTGGGGCACCAAGTCAAGCACTTAAACCAACTTTGGAGATTAAGTGACATTTAAGCTGAGACTTGGCACATAGCAAATATTTAAACAATCATTGCTGTATGAAATAAATCTGAAATGAGAGTGGAATTTGTGAGGCAAACTAGCATGGCATGTTAAAGGAAAAAAACAAAAAGAAAGAAATGTGCGCACTCATGCGCGCACGCGTGTGTGTGTGTAAAGGTCGGTGGCTCAAACCTACCAGCTATTCCACGGAAACTTTAAGAGGGTTGCTATGTGTCAGTACCAACTCAACGGCTTTTAATAACAACACAACAATAATGTGAGGCTGAAGCACAAAGTTTGAGAGGGAAAACAGCAGTGTTATAGAGAAAGGCAGTTTGAGAAATCAGCGAGGACTAACTGAGGAACACCTGAGCCAAGCCGTGGTATTTTCAATGACTTCATATACATGTGAGGTATATTTATGGTTTGGTCCTTTTTCAATGCATTGAAACATTGAGTTATGGAACTGGGGATGAATATTAAAAGTATCATGGACTGTCACAAGAACAGACCAATCTGTGTTAGAAGAAGTATAGCCAGAATGCTCCTTAGAAGCCAGGATGGCCAGATTTTATCTCTTATATTTGAGATACATTATCAGAAAGGACCAGTCTTTGGAGAAGGATATCATGTTGGGTAAAATGGAGAGTCAGAGAAAAAGAGGAAGACCCCTAATGAGATGTATTGGCACAGTGGCAGCAGCAATGGGCTCAAACGTAGCAATGATTGTGAGGTTGGTGCAGGACCGGAATGCGTTTCATTCTGTTGTGCATTAGGTCGCTATGAGTCGGTACTGACTGTATGGCACCTAACAACAACAACAACAATAGAGAAAGGTAAGGGTCAAGTCAGGGAGAGCTTCAAAGGCCATGTAAAAGGGTTTCTACTTTATTCTAAGACCACTGGGAAGCATTTGAACAATTTTAGAAGGGGATGCCATGCTCAGATTGCTATTTCAGGAAAGGCAGCTTGGCTTATATATGGGGATCAGATAGGAGAGGCAATATACAGAGCAAAGAGACCAGTCTGTAAGTTACAGATATCAGCAAAAGATTGATGGTAGCTTGGGAGAGGCAGTGGCAGTGGAGATAGATATGAGCTAAATCCAAGAAGTATTTGGTTTAGGAGTTTGAACTTGGAGGCAATGATGGATGATGACATTCAAAAACAAAGAAAACACCCAAATAAAGACTACCTTTGGGAGAGGGACTTGATGGGCCTGATTTTGGATGTCAGTATAGTGCAGGAAAGCGTCTGGAGAATGATTTGGGCTGAAGATAGATATTTGAGTTTTGGAAACACAGACATGGTCATTGATGTCTTGAAAGTATATATGTATTATCTACTATTTATTTCTGGGAGAAAGATGAGGTTTTCCACTTCCATGAAGGTTTATAGTCTTGGAGACCCTATACAGGGTCATTATGAGTCGGAACCAATTGAAGTTGTTGTACTAACAACAACACTATTAATCATCTGATATGGAGATTTCTTTATTGGACATTGAAAATATAATGGTAATTAAAATAGACAGTGTGAGGTCCAGGAGAGAGATCCTCAACAATAGGAACATACAAAGGTCAGAAGAAAAAGGACCGAACCATAAAGGAATCTAAGAGAAGAGTAGGAAGAAAACCAAGAGTCAGAAGTTGCCTCAGTTAAGAGAAGAGCCTGCTTCTAGAAGAGAACAGTCAACAGGAAGTTAAATCAAGTAAGAACTGGAAAGTACCCACTGACTTTATCTACAAGGAGGACATTGTTTTCAGTGACAGGGACGCTTTTGGTAGAATGGTGGGGAAAGCTTTATAGGAGTGGTTTGAGGAGTGAACAGAAGATGAAGAAGTGGTGCCAGAGGACAGACAACCCTTTCAATAAATCTTATTGTGAAGGACAGGTGGTGGTGGTGGTGGTGGTGGTGGTAGTGTGTCATTGAGTCAGTTCCCACTCACAGTGACTCTGTGCAGGTTTTCCGAGGCTATAAGTCTTTACGGGAGCAGAAAACCTCACCTTTCTCCCCTTGCCTTTCTTGGCACTACCAGATGAGGTGATAAAGATGCTGTCAGGTCTACCTTGTAATGACAGCCAATGCTTACAGGACCATTTGGAGACAGGGAGGGGCACTTGAACTTCCTAAGGAAGTTGCAAATGAGAAAAGGAAGAGAAAATTTCCCCTTTAACTGTTCATGCTCTTTCTTTCTTTTTAAGTCATTAAAGAGTAGCTTCTAATGAGGATTCAGAATGTCTAAAACAGGTCCCAGTGCTTAGCACTTTAACACACTGCAGTTTAGTCTTCTCCAAAGCTGTCACATTCTTCCCTTAGAGCGGTGATCATTTTAAACCAGGAAGACCGACAATTGAAGAAATACAAACCTTGTAAAATCTTACTAATAATGAATTTAACTTATTCAACCAATGACTTCTTCAGATAGAATGGCAGAATTCTTTGTAATGCCTATTTTCCTTTCATTTTAAGAATATATGAGGTTCCGGTGGCTCTGACTATATTTCAGGCTAAGGCTTAACTCCTGGTGTGGCACTGTAGGATCAGCACTGGACTGCAAACCACAAGGTTATCAGTTCAAATGCACCAGCTGCTCCTTGGAAACTTTACACAGGGTCGCTATGAGTCAGAATCAATTAACAACAACAACAACAGGTTAAGGCTGAACTTTTCCCTAAGTGTATACTTTGCCTAGAAATAATACTTCTTGATTGTATAAAGACATGATTGGTTAAACATTTAAGCATTATTTATGTGTTTTATCTCATGTTTTAAATATTTCTGCTCTTTGTGTTTTCTAGTGTGAATAATATGTTATCATAATATATAAATATTGTTGTTAAGTGACAATAGAACAAAACACTGCCCATTCCTATGCCAACCTCATAATCATGGTTATGCTTTTTTATTAATGTTGTTATGTACCTTGGAGTCAGTCCCGACTCATAACGACCCTACACAGGGTTTCCAAGGCTATAAATCTTTACGGGAGCAGAAAGCCTCATCTTTCTCCTGTGGAATGACTGATAGTTTCGAACTGCCGACCTTGAGGTTAGCAGCCCAGTTCGTAACCACTACACTACAGAGATCCTTTTTTTTTTTTTAAATTAATAAGTTTCCCTATTAAGAACTATGGATATCACTGGTCTAATTTGTCATCTGTTAATGTTGTTATTAGGTACCTTCAAGTCAGTTCTGACTCACAGTGACCCTGTGCACAACAGAGTGAAATACTGCCATACTCTGCGCCATCTTCACCACTGTTGCTATGGGTGAACCGTTGTTGGAACCACTGTGTCACAGACACTCAGAGACTGGTCCTTCCCATTAACATGCCCAAAACAAGTGAGACAGAGTCTCATCTAAAAGCATATGTAATATGATGTTCCGTCATATTACAGCTCTGCAGAGGATTCAGCTAAGGATAGGAAGCTCAATCATCTCTGAGCCACATGAACTCAGTGTGCTCACCTTTTGCTTTTCCTTCTTAGTCATGGATTGCTTGGAGCTTTCTACAAGATGGAAAAGTGCTTCGTGCTTCTTGGTACTTACCATTAATTTTTTCTTGGCCTAGAGTCAAAAGAGAGAGAGAGAGAAAAAAGGAGCAGACACTGGTATCAAGAGCAAAGTTCTTCTGTGTTGGAACAAGGCATGTCATGTCCACGTGTAAACTTGAATGATTGTTTTTAGTTCTTCCTTCCTGCCTTAGTCTCAAAATCAGCCTAAAACATCACAGCAGCAAACATTTTGTCTGGAAAACCACTGTTTAGTTGTCATGATACTGTATATACTCAAGAGGGTTATACATTTTGCTAAACCACTGCAGGCCTGCAGGCCTCCAAAACATTGTTCTAGCATAGCAGATTTCCGTCATCATTCTTTTAACTCAACCTGGGCCACAATTGAGTTGGTTTTAAGCTGCTCTTAAAATTTGCTGCAAGGAAGACATTTTGTTCCCTGATGCCTGGCCTGGGTGTGTTTGCTGGACATTCTGTGAAATGTAGGAGAGATCTGAAAAGAGGCAGGAATGGGAGAAGTGTTCAAAGTCTCCGTACCCTTTTGATACATCAAATCTGGGAACGAGTTAAGATTCAGTAATCATTTTCTGTTCTACATAGTTTGAGCTTGGCAAAAGCAGATGCTCCAGAGATAAAATAAGCAAAAATAGAATTTGGCTTGATCCATCCTGTTTTGGAACTCCAAGTTTACAAGTATCATAAATATAGATAATGAAGGGGAAATGTACAGGACTTGTTTTTCCTTAGGCTTTTACCTTGAGAATTGGTGACAAAGCCTTCCACATATCTCAAGGGACTTGGGGACAAGAACCTCCTAGGCCTATCTCCCCAGAGCATGAGGCAAGAGCATTTGTCTCTTTAAGGAGTTTTCTCTGTGTCTCCAAAATATTCTATTGCATTATTGACTTGTTCAACCTCTTGCATTGCAAACAGGGAAAATTTATTATAGTTCAAGAATGCTATCTTCTCTAATTTCTCTGTCATGCTTCAGAATAAAACAAAATAAAATCATTTTCCTTAGAAGAACTACTTAGTAGAATCTGAGATACAATAAAAAAATTTAAAAAAAAAGGTTTTTGTTCTTGGAAGCAATTGCAACTTCAGAGCACTGTTTCTGGCTTTTGGTCCATTATGTTGAATTCCCTGTGAAAGCTGAGTATTTAGAGAAAATGGATTTTTAAAAACAAGTCTTTTAAAAGAAAACATAAAATCAAGAGCAAATTTTTAAAAATACGTGACAAAATTTAAAAGATACTTCCCTCCTTCCATTCCCCAGATCTTGAAAATTGACTATCAAATATTCTTGGGAGCATCTTTTTCCCAGTATAATTATTGTTGGTATAGAAATTCACTTCATGTCTTTGGTTTTGTAGAGGCATCAATTTCAGCAGAAGTTACAGAGGTACTGAGGGCCAATATATTCACACTTTCTTCCCCCATTTCTGTTGAGTTTTCTACTTTCTTGGCACTAGAGGCTACTCAGTTAGGAGTCCCGGTGTGGTGCTTAGGATAAGCACTGGACTGTTAACTCCAAGTTCAGTGGTTCAAACCCACCAGTCACTCCTTGGAATCATATTCAGGGTCGCTATGAGTCAGAACTGACTCAATAGCACTTAACGGCATTCTATACTTTGGAAATGAAAAATAGAATGTCAGCTTTTGAAGCACAAGTCATCTCGAAGAAAATCAGGCCAAAACGATTTCTTAGCCAATCTCCTCTCTGTTGGCTTCTAGTCCTTTCTACTTGAAATCATTTCCTCCTGCACTGAGTTATTCTCAATAATCTAGACATATTGTTGATGTTTGTTGTTAAGTGCTGTCAAGTTGGTTTCTACTCATAGCAACTCTGTATAGAGTTTCCAGGAAGCAGCTGGGAGGTTTGAATCACTGATCTTGTGAATCACAGTTCAGTGCTTATTCTATAGAGTCACGTCAAGAGTCCAATCTATACATATAAGTTCCATCTATTATTCTCTCTGAGTAAGAACCTATGAGGAATCCCAGGTGATACAAATGGTTAACAGGCTAGGCTTCTAACCTAAAGGCTGGAAGTTCAAGTTCACCCAGAGGGATTTCAGAAGAAAGCACTGGTAATCTATTTTGAAACACCAATCATTAAAAACCCTATGGAACACAGTTCTACCTGACATATATGAGGGGGCTTCAAAAAGTTTGTGGAAAAATTCCCTTATCTTTTAATTCCATTTTTCCAAATTTTTTGAAATCCCTCATATGGGCTTACCTTGAGTCAGAGTTGATACAGTGGCAGCTGGTTTTAAGAACCTATAATGGTATGCTTTCGCTTCTCACACCAGATGATATTCTTTTTCTTATAATTCATTCACATGTTATGTAGTCAGCTAAATTCTTAGTTACTTTAAAGTAAGAGTCATGTCTTAAAACAGTGTTGTGGACAATAAGTGTGCCGTACATATCTGTGGAGTCTATATATACTTTTCCTTTCACATACTTCACCAGAACCCTTTCAGTAGTGGTGGTGGTGGACGTTAAATGCCGTCGAGTCAATTCCAACTCATAGTGACCCTGTACCGGGTTTCTAAGGAGCAGCTGGTGGGTTGGAACCACCGACCTTGTGGTTCACAGTCCAATGCTGATTCCTACAGCATCACATAGGAGTGAGGTAGAGCTCACTAATCCTCTTCTACAAAATCAGATGATGTTTGTTTGTCACTTTCCAAGATTACAGAAGATGCAGAGAAGCAGTTCATAGAGTGTAATAGTTAAGATCATTGACCCAGGAGCCCACTACTTATAATCAAATTTCAGTTCACCCAAAGTTGGACAATGAATAAAGAAGACCATAGAAGAACTGATGAATTTGAATTATGGTGTTGAAGAAGAAAACTGAAAGTACCACAGACTGCTAGAAGAACCAACAAATCTGTCATGGAAGCAGTACAGACAGAATGTTCCTTAGAATCATAAGATTCATCTCTCATTCTCTGGACATGTTGTCAGGAGGGACTAGTCCCTGGAGAAGAACATCATGCTTAGTAAAGTGGAGAGTTAGTAAAAAACAGGAAGACCCACAAAGAGATAAAATGACACAGTGGCAGCAACAATGGGCTCAAACATAACACTAATTGTGAGGATGGCACAGGCTCGTAGGACCTGGCAGAATGGGCTCACAATGAGTGGGAACTGACCTGCTGGCACCTCACAACAACCATGCCAATGAATTGATTCCACTCACACAACTCTATAGGACAGAATAGAGCTGTTTCTTACAGTATCAGAGACTGTAAATCTTTACGGGAGCACACAACCTCATTGTTCTCCCTCAAAGCAGCTGGTGGGTTTGAACCATTAACCTTGTAGTTAGCAGTCCAATGCTTAATACACTGCATAATCAGGAATACTTTATTTGTGGATACTTGCCTTAATTTGCTGATTCCAGTTGCTAATGACAAGACTTGCTGTTTTTTCAACTTCATTATCAAGCTATTGAGGAGAAAAAAGAAGAAAACACATATCTTACTCTCTTCTTGTTGAATCATGGTTCTGGCTGCATAATTCTGGCACAACTACTAGCTATCACAATGCACAGAACTTTCAAAGTCCTACAGTAAACATATTTCCTGAGAAATGTAGCCAAATTATCTTTTCCTTGTGTCAAGAATCTCTGGGCCATGCCACAAGGTCAAGGTAAAACAGTTCATTCTAACCTGTAAGAATGTAAAACGCATATGGTGGTGGTGGTTACATGCTGTGGAGTTGGTCCCGACCCATAGAGACCCTGTACAGGGTTTTTGAGGCTGTAAATCTTTACAGGAGCAGAAAGCCTCATCTTCCTCCAGTGGAACCGCTGGTAGTTTCGAACTGCTGACCTTGAGATTAGCAGCCTGATTTGTAACCACTACGTCACCAGAGCTCCTTAAAAAGCATCTACATATGTGCAAAGACTGTGGAGTAGAGCCCTATATGGTGGGTGTCATTTCTGGTCCCCTCACGCTCCATAAGACAAAACCTTATTCTTGGCCAATTAAGTAATCCAGATTTTCACTATCAAAAAAATTGTTCTAACAAACATCCTCGTATATAAATCTTGGGTTTGCATTTATTTATTTATTTTATAATTTTCTTAAATGAAGCATCACTTCTAGATCATCTTTTCCTGCTTTGGACAAAGACAGAAATCTTGCTTTAAACAGAGAAGAGAAAAACGTTTTTTGACTCACTGATTTTCTCTTCTTCTCTTGGACACTCAGAACTTGATGAGTCGGTTTTATTGCTTCCAACTGAATTGATTTGCCGAGTTTTCTGGGAGTAGAACATACAAGACACACAAGCAGAGTGTTAAGATTTACATCTACTTTTTTTCCAAATTATTTTTGGGAACACTAAAATGGCATGTTGTGGCGTGTCTACTCAGCGCAAGTGTGAGGAGATGTCTGTGTAGCACCCACGTACATCTTCCCAGTTCCCCTTGGGTTCAAGTACGGTGTTGGGATTACTCACTGGTGCAGTTCTGCTGCAGATTTCATGCCCTCAGAGGCCCAGACCCAGGCATTGCTGAGATAGCTGCAGGCAAATAGGGGGTGGGAGTGGGGTGCAAGAGTGGGAGGGAAGGGGGACAAAAGTGAAAAGGTGGCTGTCATTTTCCCAGTTAACTTTGATTCACTGTGTAGCTATGACATTCAATACCTGTATCTCATTTCAATTTTTCCACAGGATTAAACTCTATCACTGTATTTCTTCATACTATGATTCATGCTGCTTTTTCCAGGCATTTTTATTTACATTTTTACTTTCCAGTTCACTTCTATCGAGTATCAGTGGAAAAAGCAACCAAGAGTGAGAAGGCATTTAGAACAGGTAAGAGATAGGGTGCTTGGGTCAGAAGGGACTTAAAAGACAATATTTTCTAGGATTTTCATTTCACAGATGAGTATAAACTGAGGTTCAGAGAAGGTAAACATTATGAATGGTGTTCCCCCCAAATATGTCTTGGAATCCCAACTCTGCTACCTGTGGCTACAATCCTGTTTCTAAAGAGGAGTTTCTTTGTTGTGCTAATGAGGCCAGATCAGTGTATGGTGCATCCAAAACCTAATCACTTCCAGGTTATAAAAAGAGCAGATTAGACACAGAAGCCGGCACATACTGGCAAAGACAGATGCCATATGAAGATTGCCAAGGAACAAAGTTTGTGATTGCAGATGCTAAAGAGACCTGAATCTTCCCCAAGAGCCAGCAGAAAGAGAACTCTTCTCTGTAGCTGGGGCTCTGAATTTGGACTCCTACGCCTCCTGAGCTGAGGAAAGAAATTTCTGTTCTTTTAAAATACCACTCACTTGTGGAATTTCTGTTCCATAGCACTAGCAAACTAAGACAGTTTGTGATGCAGGACTCCAGAGCTCTAGTCATATCCTGCTTGCTGCTCCTAGGGATGGGAGCCAGCTTCTGTTCCCAGCCAGGTTTTAGGAAAACAGCTTAGATATTTTATGCTCTTGTAAACGTATCCTAATTTAACCCAAAGAGTGATACCCCTTGCTTCCCTGCAGCATGGAGGAAGAATTAGGAAGTGCCGTGCGATTTCCTCCACATAGTAATATAGGAGAAAGATGAGGCAGTCTACCAACATACAGATTTACAGCCTCAGGAACCCTATGGAGCAATTCTACTTTGTCCTATAGGGTCACTATGAGTAGGAATGGACTCAACAGCTGGGGGTATATATTGTGTACTTCCATCTATAGGAAGTAGAAAAGGAAAAACAACCTCATCTACATGGCAGTTGGGAGTCCTAGTGTGGTGCTGTGGACTAATGTGTCAGACTGTAAAGTCGTCAGAACTGCAAAGTCAGTGGTTCAAGCTCACCAGCTGCTCCTTAGAAACCCTTTACAGAGTCGCTATGGGTCAGAACCAACTCAATGGCCCTTAACAGCAACAACATGGGCAGTTGTTGTTGTTAAGTGCCATCAAGTCGGTTCCAACACACAGTGACTCCTGTATAGTTTCTGAGCAGTGACTGGTAGTTTTGAACGGCCGACCTTGTGGTTCAAACTGACCATGTGGTCCAGTGCATTATCCTGCAGCTTAAGCAGATTAATGTTTGCTTGAGGCTGGGTGGGGAAGGGATTGCAAACAGGCACAAACACCTTTTTGAAGTGATGCAAATGTCTAGATTTTAATTCTAGAGGTTGTTGTTGTTGTTAAGTGCCGTCGAGTCGGTTCCGACCCATAGCGACCCTGTACAGGGTTTCCGAGGGTGTAAATCTTTACGGGAGTAGAAAGCCTCATCTTTCTCCCGCGGAGCGGCTGGTAGTTTTGAACCGCTGACCTTAAGGTTCGCAGCCCGATTCGTAACCACTACGCTACCAGAGCTCCTTAATTCTAGAGGTAGTTGCACAGATATATACATATGTGGACATTTTTCAAATTATACGTCTCAAGTGAGAGATTTTTATTGTATGAAAATTAAATCTCAATAAAGTTGACATAAAACAGAAGCCAGGTACATTGTTCAGAAGAGAAGCTGACATTTACCCCTTAGAAGAGCTGTCAAGCAGAGCTGGAATTTAAGAATAGTAGAGATGAGAGACGTTTCTGAGACTCAGAGGCTTTCCTGGTTTCCTGTGGGGCCTTGGTAAAAAGACTGAGTTCTCTGACCCTCACCTCACTGACCTTTTAAAATAAAAACAATTTAGGATGTCTGTACAAATACCTAATTGAGTTTTAGTATAGATGCAAATTCAATTAACGTTTACCATGAAATACTGTTGTATGAATATTGTTACCAGAAGGGATCGGTCTCTGTAGAAAGACATCATGCTTGGTAAAGTAGATGATCAGCGAAAAAGAAGACCCCAAAACAAGATGGATTGACACAGTGGCAACAACAATGGGCTCATACATAACAACAGTTGTGAGGATGGCGCAGGACCAAACAGTGTTCTATTTTGTTGTGTAAAGGGTCGTTATGAGACAGAGCCAACTGGATGGCATCTAACAACCACATAATTAAATATTGTTGTATTAATCTTCAAACATGGGCAAGTCAACACTTTGGTAGTGTTATGCGGGGGTGCTAGGATTATAATATCAATAAGACCCTATACTCTAGACCCCTTTATCTTTCATTCTTAGGAAGATGATTACAATCAACATCATAATGAGAATCTGTGGACACTCTGGTGTCAGCTACTGTGAACTGAACGCATACATCTCGTTTAATACCCCTCTTCCTGTATGTGTATTATCTCACTTAATCCTCACTGCAACCACAAGGTCCAGGTTTTACTTCTATTTTAAAAAGACATTGAGAAGTAAAATAAACTGTCTTTGATCACTGACCTGGTAAGTGGAGTTAGAATTTAAACTTGGAGAGTCTGAATAAAGTCTATCTGTACCAATCACTGGACCATACAGGCTCCTTTGTAGTCTAGTAAAATACTCTCCTAAAAGTCACAATTAAAGTAGAGCAATTTCAAAACTATCATTTGCTATTACAGTTGATGAACTAAGGAAAAATAGGAATTTGAGCTTCAAAGACTTCCTTTTTTTCCCCCTCTCTCATCAAAATAAGCATGGATTAGTCAAAAACTTTCTTAACAAATTATCACTAAATAGAAGAGTCTACTTTTTCCATTCTTGGTCTTAACATATAGAGAAAAGAATGTGGACCAATATTTTCTCCAGCACCAAATGTGCACACATATACACAATGCTGCACATTTTCTTACTCCATCTTATAGAGGAAGAAATCAAGGTGTAGAAAGTCTAGTCTGCTTGTTGAAGGTCACAGAGTAAGAGACAAAACAGGCTTTGTACTTTCTGAATCCAAGGCCTTCCAATGTAACCATTTCCCAAGTTAAATATCATCCATCACCAAAGTCCAGTGATGAACAGAAGTTTAGAAGTTATAAAGAACTGGAATAAATTCAGCTCTATGATACATTATTTGTGTGAACTCAAGCAAGTTTCTTAAATGCTTTAAGCCTCATGCAAATAAGAATAATAATAAGGCCTCCCAAGGGTTGTTGTAGGATTAAATGAGAATCCTAGTGTAGTGCTATAGAACTGGTAGGTTCAAACCTACCAGTCACTCCTCAGAAATCTTCAAGGTCACGATGAGTCAAATTGACTTGACAGCACTTACCAACAACAATCAAGCATTTAGCAGTGTCTGACTTATAGTAAGCACCCAGGAACTGAAAGTCATGCTTGAAATTATATACCTATCACATTTGTAAGAGGAAGCTGAAATGGAATACATGTCATTTTATACTATTCTTCAGAATGATTTTGCCTTACCTCTTCCATGATACTTACTTTTTCTTCGCGCTCTGTAATACTTTGTTCAGCTTGAGTGCCAGTTTCTGAAGTCCTTTGGCATAGCTAATTTCCAGGTTTGCCCTGGTAGTAAAGGACAATTGTTAGATAGGATACACTGGCCAGACAAAGCAAAATTATGTGCACACATGGGCACACACATAGAGGAAGAAGAGTTCAGGCTGAAAACGTAATGAAGAGATGATTTGTTTACTAGTGAATCCTCTTTTATGAAAGGAGAGCGTTGTTTACTTAAGCTTCTTGCACCCCGATAAAGAACAAAACTCTCCTAGGTACCTGGGACATTAGCACTAATCAGATAGACTCTACACTCTAATATACTATACATAATATATGACATACATAGAATAGACAAGGGGGCTTCAAACAGTTCATAGAAAAATTTCATTATCTTTATTCCATTTTCTCATGAACCTTTCTAACCCCCCTTGTATTATATATATGGAGTCCTGGTGTGATTCTGTAAAATAAGCATTGGATTGCTAACCACTGCAAAGTCAGTGGTTCAAACCCACCAGCTGTTCCTTAGAAATTCTGTACAGGGTCTCTATGAGTTGGAACTGACTCAACAGCACTGAACAACAATCAATATATAATGATTGAATTAGCCAGGCACTAGCTGTAAGCTTTCTTAGGGGAAGCTGTGAGGTGGCAGCTTTAGGAAATGAATTCTCAATGCTTTTTGTGCAAGACAAGATCAGTAGGGAGTCTGGAGCATGACCTCCCCAAACAATTCTTTTGTCACTTTTAAATAGGTTGAATCTCTCTCGTTTTAAAATGATTTCACCTCCAGGAAATTGTCCTAGTTATAGGCATACGAGTAGTTAAAATGAGGGTATATTCAATAGTCTTCTCACTTTTGACTAAAGATACTAAAAATGTAGGAAACTAAGTTTAATTTATATATTTTTTTCCCCATTTTTCTGTTGCTCTGATGGCTTTATAAACTGGAATCTAGCAATAGTGGCTCTCTGCAGCCCTAGTTCCTGGCAGAGAAGACAGAATGCACAATCCTCTCTGAAAGGTGGAGATCCATCTTCTAATTCCTCCACCCCATCCCACTGCACTGCTCCTGTTTCCCTCTGCCATTCTGTCTTTCCCCATTGCCACCTCCACTCATTCTTGATTCATATCCACACATGATCCTTCTTGGAGCCAGAGCTGGAACTAGGGGAGCAGTCATCACACTTGGGGAAGCAGTGGGAGCCCTGGAAAGACAGACCCCTGGATACTACACTTGTCCAGGATTTGCTCCCAGCTCTGCCACTCAGCCAAAGTGGCAAAGAGTTTCTAAGTACTTTCCACATGCCAGGTACTATGCTAGGAGTGGTGCACAAATGAACTTAATTGGTCTTAATGTGAGCTAGAGTCCTGGAAGATATCTCATTTGGAGAGATATCTCACTTGGAGAGCACTTAAAAGACAACTGGGGAAAAACTGCCTCCTCAAAGAACAGTTGACCTTAACGATGTGTTAATGTGTTGATTTTGGTTCTTTCTTCTTTTTGGATGTGTGCGTTTATTGCTATAAATTGTCCTCTCTGCACTGCTTTTGCCATGTCCCAAAGATTTTGGTATGTTGTGCTTTCATTCTCTTTTGTTTCTAGGAACTTTGTGAGTTCACATTTTATTTCTTTATTACCCAGTAGCTCTTAAGCAGGGTGTTATTCAGTTTCTATGTATTTGACCTTATTTCCTTGGTCTTCCTATTGTTGATATCTAATTTTATAGTATTGTAGTCTTAGAAGATACTTTGTAGTAGCTTGATGTTTGTAAATTTATGGAGCCTTGTTTTGTGGTCTATTCTTGAGAATGTTCCATGTGCACTGGAAAAGAATGTGTATTGTGCTGTTGTTGGGTTGAATGCTCTGTACACCTCTATGAAGTCCAGTTGGCTGATCATGTTATTTAGTTCCTCTGTGTCTTTGTCAAGTTTCTTTCTGGCTGTTCTATCCTTTTTAAAAAGTGGTGTATTAAAATCTCCCACTATTTTAGATTTGTTTATTTCTTTTTCAAATCTATTAGTGTTTGCTCTATATATTTTGGAGATCTTTGATTGGAAGCATAGATATTTATTATGATTATGCCATCTTGTTCAATTGACCCTTTAATCATGAAATAATGTCAATCTTTATTTATTATGCTGGGTTTTGTCTTAAAGTTTATTTTATCAGAGATTAGTAGTGCCAATCCTGCTCGTTTTTTATTGCAATTAGCTTGATATATTTTTTTCCATCCTTTAACTTTTAATCTGTTTTTGTCTTTGTGTGCAAGTTGTGTCTCTTACAGACAGTATATTGAAGGATCTTGTTTTCTTATCCATTCTGCATATAATCCATTGCCATTTAGTGTAATTATCTATGTTATTGTTGTTGTTAAGTACCGTGGAGTGGGTTCCGACTCATAGTGACCCTGCACATGGTTTCTGAGGCTGTAAATCTTTACAGGAGCAGAACGCCTCATCTTTCTCCCGCAGAACAGCCGGTAGTTTCAAACTGCTGACTTTCAGGTTAGCAGCCTGATTCGTAACCACTACGCTAATTATCGATAGGTATGAATTAATTGCTGTCATTATGTTTTTGTTTTTGTGGTGTTGTTGGTTTCTTTGTTCTGTATGCCTTCCTGTGCTAAGTTCATAGCATTTTGTGTTCTTTCTTGCCAGTTTCTTCATAGTTTTAATGTTTCCATGTTCTTCTTGGATTTCCATTTTCTTGCTGTGTTGTGAAGTATTAATTTTCTTTGAGGTTACCTTATATCCTATTAACTTTTCCCTCCATTTAGAACAGTATTTTATCCTGTAATCTACCTGACCTCCTCACCACCTGGATCTCTGTTCCTATGTTTTTACCTTCTTTCACATTGTGATTGATTTGACCATGGACTGACCTCCCAAATCCTCTGAATTCATTCTTAAAGTTTTGTTCTGTTCTGGACTCTTCCATTTGTCAGTTGAGTTCTGGCTGGTGCTCTCACGTATGTCAATCTCTGGTTGTTGTCTGTTCTTGTTGGTTCTCAGTCCTAAGAACTCACTTAAGGATGTTTGAAGATTTGGCAAAATCCCTTAGCTTCTGTTTATCCTGGAATGATTTTATTACACCATCATATTTGATTGACAGCTTTGCTGGGTAGACGATTCTTCGTTGGCAGTCTTTTTCTTTCAGAATTTTATATATGTCTCCCTACTGCCTTCTTGTCTGTGTGGTTTCTGCTGAGAGATCAGAGCTTAATCTGTTTTGCTTGCCTTTGTATGTAACCTTCTCTTTTCCCTACCTGCTTTCGGGATTCTCTCCTTGTCTTTGATTTTGGAGAGCTTGATTGTGATATGTCTTGTTGATTTTCTTTTGGAGTCTATTCTTCTTGGGGTTTGTTGAGCTTCTTGAATGCTTATCTTTTTGTTTTTCAGGATGTTAGGGAAATTTTCTTCCAGGAGCTCTTCAAATATCTCCTCTGTGAATTTGTCTGATTCTTCCTGTTCTGGAATACCAATAATTCTTAAGTTATTCCTCTTCATGTTGTCCAATATGAATCTTAGACTGTCTTCAGATTTAAAAAAAATTTTTTTCCTGCTTGCTCTTCTATCTTAATTGTATTGAGAGATTTGTCTTCCAGATTTCTAGTCCTGGCTTCCATCTCTTCAATTCTACTCTTTGCCCTTTCAGTGTATTGTCCATCTGACATTTTATTATTAATTGTTTGGACCTCTTTTTGCAGATTTTGAATTGTTTCCAATGCTTTATCTATCTTATTTGATTGTTCCTATAGTGGTTTCCTGACTTCTTCCTTATTTTTCTCAAACCCTCTGTAAAGTGTTTGTATATGTCTTAGTATAATTTCCCTGAATTCCTTCTCAGGCATTTCCAAAACTTGCCCTCCTTCCAATGCAGTGTCTAGTTCTATCTCCTGCTCATTTGTGCTAGTCATTCTATCTTGTTTCTGGACCTGTGCTGATATAGTCAGCTGTTTCTTAGGCATCTTCAATAGTTAGCTGTGACCTCAATAATTTAATGAATGTATGTTGATGTTTTATTATGCTTTCTGATTGCCTCCAGGTAAATGTGATCAGGATACGGGCTTCCCTTTTAACTCCTCTTATTACTCAACTCAGAGTAGCTGTAGCACGTGTTGGCTGCCTATCTGGTGTAAAGCAGCTGGTATTGGCTCTTGCGTGGATGGTGGGATTTTATAGAGTGTGATTGTAGCTTGACTATATGACCACAATTTCTATCGCCTCTTGTGTAATGTAAAGAGAGAAAGAGTCCCCTAAAGGTAAAAAGGGAACCAAAAAACAAAACAGCAACAGTAAAAAAAATTAAAAAAAAACAAAAAAAACCAGATTGGATACTATAGTCTATAATTGAAGAAAAGCGAAAGGAAATAAAAAATCTGTAGCAAAATATGACTATGAGTTTAATGTCTCTCTCTCTCAGCTTCTTGCCTTCAAGGCCGCCTGAGAAATTTCAATATGTCACTGTTGTTCCTTATGGTGTAACTCAGGGTTTATTTTTTGGCTGGTTTCCTTTTTAGTCTCTCTTTCCCACTCCACAACCTCCGTATAGGTCGTTTTCCTAGTGATTAACAGATCAGGGCTGGTTGTATCTGTTTTGCACTGCCATTTGGTTTTAAGCAGAACCTGCCCCCTTAGATACTGCTGAACAGATCTGTGCACATGTACAGTAGAACCCGCTTGGGGTATCCACTCACTCCAGCACCCCCTTTAGTCACCAGAATGGAGGCATGCACACAACAAGGGATTAATGAACAGAGACTAAAATAATGTCCACACCTTTATCTCTGAGGATGGGTCAGATGTCTGTGGTGGGAGCTCTACTCTGATCCATCTCCTGCTCCATCTTGCCAAAGATGGCTGCTCTGGGAGCCGCTGAGGCTGGCCAATCAGGAAACATCAGTTTTCTTGCTTCTCCTAAAAATTCCACTGGCTGTAATCCTTCAAACTTTCTAAATATTCCTTTATATGTAGTTCAGAATTCTGGGACCATCTCCTGAGCCTGCTTCGCCCAGTATTCTGTGTTATTGCTGCCAGAGGTTTGCACTGCACTTCTCCCT